AATGTCGGAAAATAAATTTAGGAACATCATGAAATGAAAAATGATAACAAAGCACGGTCGATTACTGAAGTCTGAAAGCAAGTAACATACCTGTGTTTGATCTGCTCGTTCCATCTTCAATTCACTGCAATTTCAAGGGCACGTTTTGTTAAAATGAAATATGATACATGGGAATACAAATTCATCAGACTTGCTGTACCGTATCGTTATAACTAATGAAATCTGGTTCGATGTTAAATAAACATGTGAATTTCTCTCCAAATATACAAGATCATTGATTAACATTTACACGTTGTAATCCTGAAACGATTTGTCTCACCTGTAGTTATAAGTTTTGTGCAATATACGTTACACATTTAATACTAACACTCGTAGTCCGTATTCTATACATACTGTAGTATATATATAACGTAGTTTACTGTTAAAATATTTGCGACGCTTAAAACACAACATAAAACAATTCTGACAAATAACATCCATGTATCTTTCAGAGATCAATACTGATAGAACCTGGAATAAATCATTTTGAAACAAACACATTCAGTAGTATTTATAAAATACTACAGTCGACAGATTAGCTATTTGATGATTCCAGATATGATGTCTATTAAACGAATTACGGATCATTAAGTTTTAGTTACAATGGGTATGATATCGTACATGGGATTATAGGGTACACGAGGTATCATAATGTTTATTGATGTTAAGGGTCGCGTTTAGAATAAAAGCAGATATCTTAAAGATATAACACAGGCAGTTATTGTGTATGTGAGTAATCACACTGAGCCTAACAATGATTTATATCTTTATACTGAATTGATTGTGTAGAATACAATTAGTTAGGCCTGAAAAGTTATCAAAATTTGTCTCGTATAATTCGCTTGGGATAATATTTTCAACAGTATAGAAAAATGCCTTTTATATTTATTTTAAATACAATTGCAGTTTAGACATGTAAGTAGTGAACATCGCCCAAGAACAACAAACAATGACAAAACAAATACACAAAAACGAAGTGTTGAAGGAAAAATCAGAGAAGACCTGTGAGTTATAAAGAAATCGAGAAACGGGATCTTCCAGTTGAACTATTTCGAGATAACGAGGTTCGACTGTATTATTTTAATGATATGAATAGCAGCATGTACATACATATATATTTACATATATAAATCTGAGTGTAGTGTTTGTGTTTAGAAATATAACACAATAATACCCTATCACACACAAACACACACACACACACACACACCCACACACACACACACATATATATATATATATATATATATATATATACACACACACCTTATACATCAACCCAAAATGAAATAACCAAACAGCATACCTTCGTTCTTACTCTTTACTGATATCCGTTAATATTATTTCCCGTCGATCAAATGTAATTTGACATATCTATTTGGTAGAAGAGGTAGGTATGAAAAGCAATCACCATTCCAATTATGAGTTATATGAATTATTGATCATACGTGATGGTTCGACATTTTTTTTTTATTAAGCATCTATATTAAGTTCGAAACTTCAATTTAGAATCTGTCTCGCACAAAGAAAATGTTCGATAAACTTTACTGAATGAAGGTTATGTAAGCATTATAGTGGTGTAAAGGCCGACTTAGATATGGTAGCGGTAAAACGAGTGCATTTGGGGGTAAATATAGAATACAAATAAGTTCCCATTATGGTAATAGGATAACTTTACTCCCATACGTGTACACGTGTGTGCAGTGAAGCAAGAATAGGTAATCAACCCACTGATACCAAGTTTACAAGTAGCATAAATGGATCAGTCTAACAATATAACAAGAATAGTGTACGCATTTAACTCCTTCGCTTAATTTCGTGGCTAAACTAAAGGCAAATCGAAAGTAGCCTGAAAGGAAGTGATAAGAAAAACCCCATGATCATTTTCATGTTTTTGGATTCTATAAACTTTAAATAAAATGACTTGTAAGCTGTATATTCAGTACATGCAAGACAGTGACAGGTAAGAAAATCAATGATTTAATATTTGTAGTGAATGCAAGGACACTTAATATAGTATGATCGATACAAGGAAAAAACATTATTTAAAATTCAATCCTGACTGTTATAAAGAAGAATAAATCTAAAGTCTGGTGATTACATTTCCATTCAATGTATCAAGAAGTTACTTAGTGTATTATAAACGTAAAGAGAGGAAGGAATGTAAAAATTATGGAATGGGTGTTTGAATACTCGATGGCAAAGGTTGCTAGCCGAGTTTGTTTTAAAAACATATTCTAGTGACTACAATGCAAACGTGAATATTCAGTACAATATGCAATCAAATATGCTTGAAAGGTTACTTCAATGCAACAAATTCCATCGCAACCAGGTTTTTTAATGTCATACCGGAAGGTTACAGAATGGCGGTTTTTTCAAATTACTTTATACCATACTGTCTTCTACTTCTGCTTATGATCAAGAAATTCGATAACATTTAGCGATCTTCTAACTACATCTTTGATGTTTTTCGTACTTTCGTACTCAACAACTAGGTTAAAATGCAATAATTTAATAACTACAAATAAATTTTATACAGTAAAATTTACAAATATTGCGATGTTAAACAGAACTAGCTACTAATTAATCAAAAGTCAGAACTTATCTTTTGGTGAAAATCCCCAAAATCCAGAAGAATTCGCAATAGATTGTCCAGAAAACCGAAGAATAATCCAACAATTGTTTCCTCCCTGAATATATATAAGTGGAAGTCCAAAAGGCACTATCACTAAATCACTGTACAAGTCCACACTATACAGACTGAAGTCTCAAAGTAAGCTCACTCAAGGCGTCAATACTTCAAAAGGCACTATCACTAAATCACTGTACAAGTCCACACTTCACAGACTGAAGTCTCAAAGTAAGCTCACTCAAGGCGTCAATACCTCAAAAGGCACTATCACTAAATCACTGTACAAGTCCACACTTCACAGACTGAAGTAAATAAGCTCACTCAAGGCGTCAATACTCCAAAAGGCACTATCACTAAATCACTGTACAAGTCCACACTTCACAGACTGAAGTCTCAAAGTAAGCTCACTCAAGGCGTCAATACTTCAAAAGGCACTATCACTAAATCACTGTTCAAGTCCACACTTCACAGACTGAAGTCTCAAAGTAAACTCACTCAAGGCGTCAATACCTCAAAAGGCACTATCACTAAATCACTGTACAAGTCCACACTTCACAGACTGAAGTCTCAAAGTAAGCTCACTCAAGGCGTCAATACTTCAAAAGGTACTATCACTAAATCACTGTACAAGTCCACACTACACAGACTGAAGTCTCAAAGTAAACTCACTCAAGGCGTCAATACCTCAAAAGGCACTATCACTAAATCACTGTACAAGTCCACACTATACAGACTGAAGTCTCAAAGTAAACTCACTCAAGGCGTCAATACCTCAAAAGGTACTATCACTAAATCACTGTACAAGTCCACACTATACAGACTGAAGTCTCAAAGTAAGCTCACTCAAGGCGTCAATACCTCAAAAGGCACTATCACTAAATCACTGTACAAGTCCACACTTCACAGACTGAAGTCTCAAAGTAAACTCACTCAAGGCGTCAATACTTCAAAAGGTACTATCACTAAATCACTGTACAAGTCCACACTTCACAGACTGAAGTCTCAAAGTAAGCTCACTCAAGGCGTCAATACCTCAAAAGGCACTATCACTAAATCACTGTACAAGTCCACACTTCACAGACTGAAGTCTCAAAGTAAGCTCACTCAAGGCGTCAATACTCCAAAAGGCACTATCACTAAATCACTGTACAAGTCCACACTTCACAGACTGAAGTCTCAAAGTAAGCTCACTCAAGGCGTCAATACTTCAAAAGGCACTATCACTAAATCACTGTACAAGTCCACACTTCACAGACTGAAGTCTCAAAGTAAGCTCACTCAAGGCGTCAATACCTCAAAAGGCACTATCACTAAATCACTGTACAAGTCCACACTTCACAGACTGAAGTCTCAAAGTAAGCTCACTCAAGGCGTCAATACCTCAAAAGGCACTATCACTAAATCACTGTACAAGTCCACACTTCACAGACTGAAGTCTCAAAGTAAGCTCACTCAAGGCGTCAATACCTCAAAAGGCACTATCACTAAATCACTGTACAAGTCCACACTTCACAGACTGAAGTCTCAAAGTAAGCTCACTCAAGGCGTCAATACCTCAAAAGGCATTATCACTAAATCACTGTTCAAGTCCACACTTCACAGACTGAAGTCTCAAAGTAAACTCACTCAAGGCGTCAATACTTCAAAAGGTATTATCACTAAATCACTGTACAAGTCCACACTATACAGACTGAAGTCTCAAAGTAAGCTCACTCAAGGCGTCAATACTTCAAAAGGCACTATCACTAAATCACTGTACAAGTCCACACTTCACAGACTGAAGTCTCAAAGTAAGCTCACTCAAGGCTGCTCAGGCTAGCTCCATCAGGTTTATATACTCTACAGGTTTCTAGAAAGTTCCTTTCTTGATGATTCTAGACCAGTAAAACTTCAAACTTCCGGAAACATCCAGGTCATTCTAATAAGCTTTCTAGAAAAATCTGCCTTGCACGATCTACACATATTGTGACAAATAATCATAAACAGTTTTTTTTTTATGTAAACAATGCATGTAAACACAGCATATCTGATTCATACACACCAGTTATACATAACAACAAGTTTAATGGATAGTGATCAAGTATCCATACCAAAAAATGCCTTGTTTCAAAGGAATGAAGTTCTGTCTCCGCTACACTTACTAACAATAGAATCCTAGAAATAATTACTTTATATATATATATATATAAACATACAATCTATATAAATATATTCCTGGTAATACATCTAATTAAATAGCACAATATCTGACATTTTCTAAATCAAATTTCTCCTGTATGTTTTATATTTGTAGGCAGAGTACATTGAAAGAAAAGGACAACAAATCAAGATGGCCCTCCAAGCTTTCTTGCAGTACATTGATGACAGATACAGTGACCTTCATATGGACATTTCTGTTGTAGAACACATGTACAGAGCTACAAAAGATATTGTTCAATATCTTGTAGCTAAAATCGGTGAACTTGATCCATGTCTCACGGTTAATGAAATTTTAAGCGTCGGTAGTTTTGTAGAAAAGACGAAGATTCGTTCTCCAAATGAATTTGACTTCATGGTTTGTCTCGATTTTCTTTCCAATGAAGATGTAGTGAAAATCGAGGCCCAGGAAGGATGTGATCCAGGGTATATGATAGCTTTTCTGAAGTCTCATCCGAAAAACATGAAGCGTACAGCCATGCAACTTTATGGAGATGTTTGGTGTATTCATCCTGATGGCTTAAGGGCGGAATACAACAGATTGTTAACCGAGGTTTTTAATACAATCAAAGATTATAAAGTCATCACACCGCACGGGGCCATGAAAGTTCGTGGATCATTTCATCTTGCCTTGAAATTAGAATGGATAAGGTTCCGCAGTGAATACACCGGAGATGATGTTTTCAACGGCCTGTCACAAACAGATATTCCCTTTGATGGTGCGCACCGATTACCCGTTGACGTTGATATCATGCCCGCCGTGCGTGTTGAAAATGCTTCTCTCGCGACCACACTATCAGGATTTCCTCGTCATATGGCGGATGTTGTAACTAGTCAAGGTTTTCATTTAATATACAAGGCGTCGGGTCACGATTCCAATACTCCCTTCCTTCAAACATCTTTCGCCGCGTCAGAGGTAGTATTGGTGCAAAAACTACATCCGATTCACAAACAGTGCTACAGGATACTTAAGTATCTTCTCACAGATGGCACGAATGTCAACAAACAAAACAAAAATATTTCTCTTTCATCATACATGTTCAAGACAGCAGTTCTATTTCACGAATACGACGGTCTTTGTCGTGGTGTTCCAGACATTGTAAAATGTAGTCTTAATCTAATTAATTATGTGAAAGATAATTTTGGACTTGGTCTCATGCCTACCTTTTTTATGAGAAATAGGAATACTTGGGGGAAATCCTACCGAATTCCTATTATGTATTCATGGAATCCTAGTGGACTTCCCCACGAAGTCAGTAGGGACGAACTGTGTGTCATAATGTGGATGGAGGTCTGGCGTCAAATATTGAACAAAGCCATCCTTATTTTCCAAAATATTTGCAGATATAACGCAACAAAAACAGCTCTTCAAAGTTCTGGACAAAACAACGTTTATCAAAGAAACAATGATTCTAATACTGTTACCGAGAATATCCACAAAACAGTCAGTCACACTGATTCAGTGAAAGAGAAAGAGTCAAAAGGAGACTGTCAAAGCAACACATATAACGAAACACATGGTGAGGAGGCATCTTCAGCTAACAAAACCTGTCATCGGCCTGGAACTGGCGTATTGCTTTACCAATTCACGGCCAATGACAATTTCGTTGAAGCTTTTCAAAAACTGCGAAATACAATATGTTCAGTGACAGGTTTGCCTCCTGAAAAAGCATTGGCAGCACAAACAGAACCTGAAATCTGGAAACTTGTTGTACCAAAATTCTCTGAATATCACGCAGTAATGGAAAAGGCATGTCAGGAAAAGATTGATATTCCAAATGAAGAACCAATGAATTTAGAATTAAAAGAGATAGTATATAGTAGAGAATCATTTGACTGACAAATAAACCGGCATCAGTGTAGCTGGCATGTGAAACAATTCACTGACTGTTTCATATATAGTGCAGTCGAATATACACTTTTATTTAACCATTGTTATTTAATCAGATATTTATATCTTAATATGAATTTAATCCTGGTAATAGGTTGATAGAATGGTTAAATATAAATACTTTTAAAAATCGTTCTATGGTCATTTACAGTTCAGATATTATACTAAAATAGTATCGTGTCTACATGATCAAGCAGTAAAGATGTTTATTGTGTAAGGTTAAATACTGGAACACTTTCATCTCAATGATTTCCTGTATGGGGCAACGTGCAAAAGCATTGGCGTATCGTAGATCAGTGTGATCACAAAATGACGTCATATGATTAACATACCTATAATTCGTTGAATACAATCACGTGAGGATCTGTTTTGAAATTTGTGAGAGAATATCGTGATATATAGCTTTTCGTGCGACGTGAATAGCAGGAAGTAAAAGGGTATTTGCCAGAGCATAATTATGATATAACAGAACCAGTAGAGTTATCATCGGTGTACATATCATCATTTGCTGCTGGTTTCAATGAAAAAGTTCTATGTTCGACAAAGTGACCTCACTAACACAGACACCTTTTCTTTGTGCGATGTGAAGCTATACATGTTTCGTAATTGTTAGTTTTCTTGTTGGTTCCGTTGTCGAATACCTTACTTAACAACGTGACACTTGGATTGATCAAGACGTACATCGCAAGTGTCGTCGATGAAGCAGAAGACGCTTATTTTTCCTGAACACCTGGTCTTATTTTCCTTGTACTTTCTTAGACGTCTCCGTGTAGACCATTCTTTTTATCATATTTGACGAAGTTTTAGTGAATTGAAGTTTGGATTAGGATTTTGTTTACGTATTGATATTTTGCTGAATTTTCTTTTCAAAATTCGTGATGCCATTAATATTTGAAATCAATCTATTGTTCCTGACGTCATTTCCGTGACGTTTCAGGGTCGTATGGGCCTATTGACACCAAAACACACATCAACGAACACCGTTAATTATCATGGGAGATAAAGTATTTTAATCAGTACCATTAAATAGTAATACAACTACATTTTTTGAAACACGTATCGTTTCCAGTCTCCGTTGTATGATATTCATCCTGCTGGTTTTCCTACAGTTTTTTTAAACCCAGACACTATCTGTGTTATACCTAAAGTTGGTTTGTGGCCTAATTAGAAATGTGTTTCAGAGACTTAGGCATTGGATAAGGTAAAACTACGTTTACCTATATAGACTCCGTGTGATATATTAGTCAGGGTAAGATCTCTTATTATCATAATCTCGCTTATATAAACTTGTAGACTTTCATAAGATCCTGTGCGTAATCATCATAAATATAACGGAAGCAATCTCTCCAAGAGTGCGTTGGTGTACCCAAATAACACCTCTGTAAACCACTCAACGTTTTTTGGAAAACGTATTTGTGTCCAATAACAAAGCATTTCATTATTTACCTGTTTTGTTATTTTTGTGTTATGATTTTGAAAACAGATGTTTGTTCATCTGGAAAATGACTAATTAACTTCATATGGTTATAAACGCGGAAGATTTTCTTTGAGTAAACAGTCACCAACCGTCAAGTTTAGAATTTGTACTTTCACTTTTCAACTACCGATATTGAGATTGATGTTGATATACCGTGACATAAGATATAACTGATAGCTATCTACTACAATATTAGCGGTACATAGCCTCGCAACAACCCCAAATATTAATTTTACGTTGATCAATAACATAGAAAACAGTCTACAGCTGTGTCCTTTGTTGATGTTGCTTGTGACGTCAAACTTTGACCCTGACAAGGTCAGCTATTGTTGGTCAATTGGTCTTTTGCAATTTACATAGGTGTGGTGTAACTGTTAAGGAACGACAATTCTGGTAGAGATTGTTATCACAGTACAGTAAAATACAAAACAAAATTGCGGAAGAAAGAACTATTAATTTATTTAAATAAAAGCAGATACAACTCACATTATCTCCTGGAATTTTAAAATTAATTTCTTAATTTAAATAAATTTTGCAAATCCGTCTGTTGTGATCGATAGCATGCTCCCATAGCATTATATTGAAAATAGTATCAATTTGTCTGAAGTTTTCGAATGTTGAAAATGTTTAATAAAAACAATATTGATGTTTTAAAAAATTTTTTGAAAAATTTCATCTTAAATTTCGAACAATTCATGAAAGCAAGGCCATTACATCAACATATACATATAGGTATGTCTACAGATTAAACGATACAAGATATATATAAAATGTGATATATATTTAACAATGTACATATAAAAATCATCATTTACAAATGCGTCGTCAAAAATATTCTATGTGCAATTTGTTATCAACGGGACATCAGACATGTATAAGAAAGACAAGGAAAAGATTTTACAATAGAACATGTATTTACAAAGTCTGTCGACTGGTCTTGAGTTAACAATCCATGTACATAACTATATATTAACACAGTTGCTTTTTATCACATGATTATAATCAACAAAAACAATTGAATCACTATCAACATGGGCTAGATATATATAGAGATATATATAATGTGTTACGTTCGTCAGTCTCCATTTCAAGGTTGATCAACAGATTATAGAATGTGACGGAAATATTTCTTCAATCTGGATATCGGGAGAATATGTTTGTCAATGAACAGCAGAATTATAATTCTATGCTATTTGAGTTTTAAAGGGTATTCTTAAGGAGATGAAAATAAACCACCATAGTTGAATTGTAAAGTTGAAAACCGATACTAAATAATTGGGGCATTGATTACATTTACAATTTAGTAACCCTTCTTAATATTGATTAAGGATATAGAATTTTGTTTCAGTCAGATAGTTTTCGTCAGGAAAGTTGGAGTTTGATTTTACAGAAAGGATACATAATTTTATATTTTCTCATCTTTGCGAATTGTATTTGAATAAACCACTAGAAAGTAGATGCCAGGGGAAAAATCACAAAAAAAAACAAAAAGAGCTATTTAATCGAGGTTAATATATTGATTCAGTCTTAGAAAGAAGAAGGCAAATGTCAGCCTAAGATAATACGAACTTATGTATTTTGTACACTGTGTTAAAATTGGTTGGCGTGAATGTGTAAAGGCATGTGTTTGAATGTATGATTGTGAGAAAAGGAGTGTACAAAAGTGAATTTGTGTCAATGTCAATATTGTAGCTTGTCTTTTGTTTATTTGATATTACTGCGAACACACTTCCTTCATTTAACTATCTAAACATGACTTCTCAATTGGCTATATCAAACATGTGTAATACACAAAAATATTACCTATATATAATTACTGAGTAACATGACAATCATGTGGCTAGTAAAATAAGTACAAAGATAAATACATATTTAACACATCTTAAGGCCCTTCATTCATTGATATTCCTGAAATATGACACTGACCAGCAGAGGTGCAAATTACATCACCCATATCTTAACATCGTATTTTCTCTTTTAAACAACTATTTACCCTAAAACCGCCATGACACTGCAGTCTCACTTTTGAGCTTAATTGATCGTTCGTCCCCTTGACGAAGGTTTTGAGTTCTGTCTCCTGGCCGAAATATATTTTGTATAAATCTGGCAGTTATTTTTTGTTTGTATGACGGTAAGCGTTGTGATATTGTAACGATTGATTTGATTATTGTCAGTACGATCTGAATCTCCTGTGGGGATATGCATACCTCAGTATGGTACATGAAGTACTATAGAGTCAGTTTCAGAGTTGCCTTAACACAATGAACCTTACAAAAACAAAATGCAAACACTCAACGCTTGACCTCGCCTTACATACAATAGCTGGCAGTCCTTCAATGATTATGCCTAATAAGAAGACATTAATCAATACCAAATGAAACCCAAACTCATGCATGGCCTGATATCTCATACTGTTATCAACGAACTTACAATAAGGAAAATTCCTATTTCGTTTCAAATGTAGTGACAGTATTCACTAGAATACTACATCTGACAAATATCGCATATTCTGTTCATGTTTAATGTCTTGAAGTGAAGAGAGTCTAGGGTGAATTTCAGTTTCATCAGTCTGGACAATAAGTGTGGACAAATTCATCAGTCTGGACAATTTCATCAGTCTGGACCATTAATCCGACCAATTTCATCAGACTGGACAATCAGTCTATGTAATTTCATCAGTCTGGACAATCAGTCTTCACAATCAGTCTGGGTAATTTCATCAGTCTGGTCAATTTCATTAGTCTCGACTATTTCATCAGTCTGGACAATCAGTCTTCACAATCAGTCTGGCTAAAATCATCAGTCTGGTCAATTTCATTAGTCTCGACTATTTCATCAGTCTGGACAATCAGTCTGGGTAAATTCGTCAGTCTGGTCAATTTCATTAGTCTCGACTATTTCATCAGTCTAGACAATCAGTCTTCACAATCAGTCTGGGTAAATTCATCAGTCTGGTCAATTTTATTAGTCTCGACTATTTCATCAGACTGGACAATCAGTCTTCACAATCAGTCTGGGTAAATTCATCAGTCTGGTCAATTTTATTAGTCTCGACTATTTCATCAGACTGGACAATCAGTCTTCACAATCAGTCTGGCTAAAATCATCAGTCTGGTCAATTTCATTAGTCTCGACTATTTCATCAGTCTGGACAATCAGTCTTCACAATCAGTCTGGGTAAATTCGTCAGTCTGGTCAATTTCATTAGTCTCGACTATTTCATCAGTCTAGACAATCAGTCTTCACAATCAGTCTGGGTAAATTCATCAGTCTGGTCAATTTCATTAGTCTCGACTATTTCATCAGTCTGGACAATCAGTCTTCACAATCAGTCTGGCTAAAATCATCAGTCTGGTCAATTTCATCAGTCTCGACTATTTCATCAGTCTGGTCAGATTCATCAGTCTGGACAATAAGTGTGGACAATTTCATCAATATGGTCAATTTCATTAGTCTGGACAATCGGTCTGAACAACTAGTCTGGACAATTCCATTAGTCTAGTCAATTTCATTGGTCTCGACAATTTCAACTGTCTGGACCATTAAATTTGACAATTTCATCAGTCTGGACAACCAGTCTCGGTAATGTCATCAGTTTTGTCAATTTCATCAGTCTGGAGAATAAATCTGGACAATTTCATCAGTCTGGACCATTAATCTGGGTAATTTCATCAGTCTGGACAATCAGTCTGAGTAATTTCATCAGTTTGGACAATCAGTCGGGACAATTTCAACAGTTTGGTCTATTTCATCAGTCAGGACAATTAGGGTGGACAATGTCATCAGTCTGGACAATTTCATTAGTCTCGACAATTTCATCTGTAATCTGGACAATTTCAGCAGTCAGGTCAATCATTCTCGACGATTTCATTAGTCTAGACAATCAGTCGGGACAATTTCATCAGTTTGGTCAATTTCATCAGTCAGGACAATGTCGTCAGTCTGGACAATTTCATTAGTCTCGAACATTTCATCTGTGTGGACCATTAGTCTGAACAATTTCATAAGCCTGGACTATTTCATCAGTCAGGACAATGTCGTCAGTCTGGACAATCAGTCTAGACAATTTCATCAGTCTCGACGAACGATTTTGGTCAGAGGCAACAGTAATATTGTAATAAAGGCTTATTGCCCATTTTTATATCAAACTTAAAATATTTTGCACACATTGTTGTGTGTTTCCTTACTGATATTAAATCAAGGTAATTAATTAAAGTAAATTTATGTCTCTGCTGCGTATAAGAAATCATTTGACCTGAGGCTTTCAAATACTTCGATTGATTCTGTCGTCTATTCAGCGGTGGTTGGTCCTAGGCATTCCCAGCATCACTTCTTACACGTCCGTTCCTTTATAATACAAAGAAATTGAAAATCGTAATACATTTTTTAAAAATTATATTTCAATTTGTTTCATGCTATCGTATCTGCCTATCATTTCATAGTAAAATATCCTACCCAGGCATTCACCATTAAAGGGATATTCTGTACAAAATCCTTATAGTTTGTACTGTTGTGAAACTTTTTGAAAAGGCGTTTAATGTCATCAGCTTCAAAATACTTTTCTAAGGTTAGTTTGGGTAAGTGGGAATTCCCCTTGACAATATGATAATAACACCGTGCATACAGAGTACATTGTGGAATAATTCACTGACTGGATCAACCATTTAAAGTATTGGATAAATACACAGGTATGTGCGCTGTTCACTGAAAATTTCTGCTGGAATCTAAATTCCGTGGCTCATTTCTTGACGAATTTGAAATAAACACAAATATTTAACTCTATTCACCTTACTAAAAGCTAAAGCATGCTCGAGCTAATGTTTGTAAATCGATCTAGCTGGGATTATGTAGACATTCCACGAATTAATATCGTATGTTTATTTACATGATGAAGTGGGGCGTGTTTTTGTAATAATCTAATATATTTAAATTTATATCGAGTATCTTATTTTTTACATTCTTGGGTGACGTTTCATTACACCAATAGTATATCAGATCGAGCAAAAAAAAAGGCAAGATATCAAAATGTAATTACTTTGTGATTCAGATCCGGGACGGGAACTCGTACCGGGAGCTGTTTCAGGCACAGGCTGTTGAGTTCCAGCGTTATATGGCTTATCAATACCAGGTTTATCCGGCAAAAGGGAGTCGTTTGTCCCGTTGCCATCTGAAATGATGGTCACATTTAATGTGATGTCCAGACAACAACATCAACAACATCAACAACAACAGCCACAGCGATAACAAATACTACTAGTACTACTGCTACTACTATTACTTCTACTACTATCACTACTACCACTTCTACCACTACTTCTACTACTACTTCTACTACTACTACTACTACTACTGCTACTACTATCACCACTACTACTTCTACTACTACTACTACTCTACTACTACTAATGCTACTATTACTACTACTACTTATACTATAACTGATATCACTGCAATTACTACTGCTACTGCTATTACAACAACTACTATTACTACTACTACTACTGCTGCTGCTGCTGCTGCTGCTGCTGCTGCTGCTGTTACTACTTCTGTTACCACTACTACACTACTTCTACTACTACTACTGCTACCACCACTACTACTACTACTACTACGACTACTACTACTACTACTACTACTACTACTTATACTTACTACTATTACTACTACTACTCCTCCTACTACTACTGCTGTTACTATTTCTGTTACTACTACTACACTACCACTACTACTACTACTACTACTACTACTACTACTACTACTACTACTACTACTACTACTACTACTACTACTACTACTACTACTACTACTACTACTTCTACTACTACTACTACTACTACTACTACTACTGCTGCTGCTGCTGCTGCTGCTGCTGCTGCTGCTGCTACTACTACTACTACTACTTACTACTGATACTACTATTACTACTACGACTACTACTGTTATATCAATTACAATGAATTGAAATAATCTTATAGCTTACAAGGGGATTGTGACCTTCTGCCGTTGCTTGATGATGGCGAGACAAAAGAGTTGTGTTTTGTAGGTTTTTTCTTTTTCAGGATGATAACGACGATGACGATGAAGATCAGAGCCAAACAAAAGACCCCTACTACCGACCCTACTATAACCGGCACCAGGTCACGTCTTCTTTCTGTATAAAAAATATTCATAAAATGTAGAGCATTGATCTCTGTTACAAATAACGAATGAATTTATGACACGTGTATAATTATGTATGTGTGCATATCTGTATTTGATGCGGGTAGTACAGGTATAGTTCACAAATCGATAGATACAAAATATGCTCATATTAAGTGTTATCAATATATTATAATACCCCAAAGTTCACTACACAAAATCTAAATTTTTAGAGCCAGCATCACAACTTACCATCATCGCCATCAGCATCGACAACTCTTGACACAAAATATGATCGGTCCACAGTAAAGACTTCTCCGTTTGGGTTAGTAAGGGTGAGGTTACCGCTGAGTATAAGATTTCGGAGTAGAGTATCCACCTCGCTTATCGTCGGTTCTGACGATGAAGAGGCAGGTGTGATTTGAAACGTGACTATGATGGAACCTAATATTGAACAGAAGATAATTGTAATATATTTTTGTACGAAAGAAATACAATGAATTAAGTCAAGATTGTCCTCTCTGTTGCACATGCTAATGGGTTTTTAGTCGATAAACGGAGAAAGATGACAAAACCTTTATTTGCTTATCATAATGACTCAGTTATCACGTAATATGTAAGAAAATATATTGTTTTGATAAATCTATCACAGTTTGGAAAGTAAAAATACTTTTAGCATATAACATATTCGTGACTTTAGATATCTTGATATCTAAAAATCTTTTCAGGATCGAAGTTGTCTGATTCTTCTGATTATCTTTATTATTATTTTTTTTGTAAACGTTTCCTCATGATTTAAAAACCCACAATAATAAAACCTACCATCCTTAAGAGTGAGGTGCTCTATCCTTGTTTTATTGATATTTAACTTGTTTGATACCGTCGTCGTCACGGCATCTTTTGCTTCTTCCATGCTACTGTTTCCAATAAAGTCTGACACTGAAGTTCCTTGGATTTTGAATTGAAATTCTGACAAAAAATATATACACATATATATATATATAAGAAATCTTACAAGAATGTCATCTGAATTGTTTGAATTTCTGAGATTCCGAACTAGTAGATTATTGGCAAAACATAATTTTCCTTATTTAATCATTTGAGCAAGTCTACTGTAGGTAATTGGCATTACAACATCGGTTAACCTACTGCTTTCATGGAAACTAAAAAAACATTTCTAGCTAGATCTGTCAGAAATCTATATATATATTAAAATATATCTTCTAAACGTTTTCAGTTTCGTGTGCTATTTACCTTGATTTTTGGTCATAAATGGTTGAGTAGTAGTTGCTATGATAGAGGAAGTACTTCCAGCTGTTGAAACAACAGAACTATTGACTCCTCGAGTAGATGCTGCACTAGTTGAAGTGGACCCGGTACTTGGTGCTAATGCAGCAGTGCTTCCCGTGGTAGTAGCAGATATCGTTGCGGTGGATGCAGGTGTTGGAGATATCGCACTAGAACTTGCTGGAAATGTACGAGAGCTAGTTGACATGGTCGCAGTTGTTGCAGGCATCGAAGAACTTGATGGCATTGAAGAAGTACTGCTTGACATGTAAGAGCTGGATGGCATTGAAGAAGTACTGCTTGACATGTAAGAGCTGGATGGCATTGAAGAAGTACTGCTTGACATGTAAGAGCTGGATGGCATTGAAGAAGTACTGCTTGACATGTAAGAGCTGGATGGCATTGAAGAAGTACTGCTTGACATGTAAGAGCTGGATGACATGGAAACAGTGCTCTGTTGCATATAAGAACTTGATAGCATTGCGGACGAACTTCCTGACATACCAGAAGAACTTGGTGTGATTGAATCAGATGTTTGAACGGTGGTCATACTTGCTCTGGTTGATGGATAGCTTTCTGTTGGGGGAAATATACATCGTATCGATGAAGTAACTGATGGAGCCCATCCAGTGCTTCCTGTGACTGAAACTGTATATCCTGTGTTGGAGATGGTCATTTCTGAGTATGAAAGAGTACTCTCTGTGCCGTAAGTAACACATTCTGTGAGTGTCGGTGAAATGCTTTCTGTAGCTGTACTGTAGGAACTGGCTGCGTCCCAACAATCAAAGAAGATATACGATATCACACATTGTCATCAAAATCAAACCATTTCTTAGGAAATATAATTCCCGTTGAATCCTCTGAATTACTCAAACATACCAAAAAAGCTAAACAATATAAAATGACTCGTTATTCCTGCTGATAGTAAATATGATGAAAGGTAGCTCCTTGCTTTACATTAATACTGCTAATATTGATATTTTACGAGACGATATGATAATTAATTGGACTAATAGTTTTTATAGATAAATTGGATGTTACCTGAATTTTGTCCGGCATTTCGTCGTCGTCTGTTATTGATTGCTGTCAACACATAGTAATACATATAGATATATACTGAATACTGTGAAATATTTATGATTTCAAAACGTAAAGGATAACTGCATTCAGCAAAGGAACTCTTCTGGGTCAAACCAAGTGTAGAAAAACATAAACTAGGAAAAACGGTTATGGCAAAAGAGGAAACGCGAACATTTTACAAGGAAACTAAGAAAAATACTAGCAATTCAACGTAATTTTAATCCAATCTCAAATTCCATAAAACCAGGGCAAAATATAAACAAAAGAAAGTTTACACATATACTCATGAAAAAGTACAATGAGAATAATACCAGATGTTCCGAAGGAATAAGTATCTTCTGCTTCATCGACGATACCCCTCATGTAAATCTTAGTCAATTCAAGTAAGTAATGTCACATTCTCAAATGAGAACAAGGTAAATAACAACTTAGCCAGCATGAAAACTAACGAGCAGCAAATACGTATAGCTTCATACCGCACACATGGACAGTACAACTTTCCAATAATATTTATCAAACTGCAGCAAGAAATGCTCGCTGTTCTATGTTCTTTTAATAACATGACTTTTGAACTAAAATTAGGATCTCTGTTGTCTTTTTTAAGAATTCATAGTGAATATAAAAACACTGAACATTTGCATAGCAGTAAATCCATACATACTATTACCTTCGTCTTCTTCGCAAGTTGTTTGGCATTCTCCTGTGGATTTGCAAAGAGTCTGAAAAAGTTTTGATATACGATGAGTGCATACTTGGAACAAAAGCCAATTGAATAATCTAGAAATTATAAATAGATATGCATGCATTTAATATGTAGTCTTTATATAATCTAATTGATGCTAATAACCGCTGATGGATACAAAACACGTAAAACAAATAGATATAAGATTTCTAAATGTTTTGCGTTATACCAGTCACTTTTATATTTTATATATTCAGATTTGTACACAGTACATATCAGTGTGGTCAGTTTGAACAATGAGTTCGTCGGCTGGGTCTACACTATTACAACTCTCTTTTGAATGGAAAAGTCATTGCATCTTCTGCAATGATATCAAAATCTAAGTAAAAGTAAAGTGAAAATTGTGGATTGTGTCAGTAGCGTGCACTGCCAGCAGAAAGAAAACGGTAGGTCGGGGATGAATCGCATGAAGGCCTCTTTTAAAATTTGCTCCAGTTGCTTCCCCTTATTCCTGAGTATACAATTGAATCTTTTTTGTTTTTGTTTTTTTTTTCGGTGGAGGGGGGAGGGGGGTCTTGTAGATTTTACGTAAGAGTTTAAGTGTCGTTGTCGTTTTTTGACGTCGGATCGTAAGATGTCAAGGAACCTGTATAACAAAAATAAAAAACTGAAAAACAACACAAAAAGTGATATAAGAACAAGTTAGAAGACCCCCACCCACAAACAAAACAATAATAAAAACTAAAACAAACAAACACACCAAAACAAAGCAAAAACTAATAACATAATATAATATAACGATAACATGATATACTGCTTCGATGAAACAATGCATATGAAAAGTACTCTTGAATGCAAGAATAGACGCAAAACCAGAGAGTTGAGAGATATGCATTAGCACTACAAAAAACATTCTAATGATGACAAAGATTTGTGTCTATATTGCCTATGTTCTTTGCTTGCTGTCTCTGGTGTGAATGCAAATCATTCCTGTTACTTTGGACACGTAACTGATGATTATCTCTATAGTAAGAAAAACAAAACAAAAATAAATAAAAACAAAAAATGAAACACACGTACAATGTGGTGTATCGTCACATTCATCTTGAATAAATGAAACGTACCTTGCCAGAATCACAGCCATCAGAGGAATCCGTAGCCAGTATGGTGTTTGTTGTCACCGCCAATATCAGTATTAAAAGTGCTTCAAAGAGAAAAATAAAATCATGATTACTATGTTATCAGGTACGTAGTGCAGCAGCTGATGTGATTTTAATTTGTCTTTCCTGAACAATCATCTAGAGTGAGAAAACATTACAGGTTACAAGGCTACTAGATAGGTAGTAAGATGTGTTTGGTGTGTTTTTGATTTTGACGTGATATCTGATAATGCATCAAGACAATGCTACATTATGCAATGTATATAAATATATATCTTATTCTATTCATAATAATTCATCATTGTTTAGTACTGTTCCATGATATTGATTTCTTTAATAATATTAAACTTCTAGCTTCAGTGCCATTCCATCTATATTCTTCTTCATCCTGTTTCTTGTTTTTGGAGTGATTTCAAGGATGGGGTTGATATTAACGCATTCAATAAGCAACAAAAACACAATAGCAAAACGTACGGCTGATATGAAAAATAGTATGTATAACGTGTTCTTCTTTTAATGGAAAGGTTATTGACATGCGTACATATTTTGGAGAGTATTATATGCAGTTTCTCCACTTTCCAATCTGTACTTATCTATATATTTTTATGATTTGTTCCTCTCCAGGACACTGTCATTTCCAGCAATCCATATGTATTAATTGTCTTGTTCTTATGTTGAGTATATTTCTTCCAAACAGATTATTTTTGTTTCTCTCTCTCTCTCTCTCTCTCTCTCTCTCTCTCTCTCTCTCTCTCTCTCTCTCTCTCTCTCTCTCTCTCTCTCTCTCTCTCTCTCTCTCTCTCTCTCTCATTTTCTCTATTAAAGACTGTGTTTTAAATATTAGAATTATATCATGAAATAAGATTGTGAAATAGAAGAAATTTACCATTATCCAAAGATATGTATAGAACATATCCCATACGTCTATGATGGTATATTATATACTTAACTGTTATAAACACGAGTCATTTTGGGTTTGTTATATCACATTTAATTACAATTAAATATGTATGCTTTCTTCATGAGATCTTTTAGCATGCTACAGTATTTCATTTTTTCAATCTTTGTGTTGATATCAATGAAATGTTACAATTTTTTGACATGCTTGGTGGATGTATATCACTGTCATTGACGCAATTGTGCTCTATAATCTGTAAACAACCTGTCAAAACAGTGTAGGTTATGACGTATCTTTTTATCAACATATAGAATCCCTTGATGCCATAAATGTCTGTATCATTTTATTATCTCATATATTTCGATTATCAATGTTTTCTCGTGGTATTGGGACCTTGCATAAAAATATTTATCTATCAACACATAGAATCTCCAGGAGAGCGATACAAAAGTTCTTTGTATTAGCATGTGTATACTGACATTTCAGTGTCGACACGCTACATGAACATGTTTACTAACCGTGTCCTGAAATAATCGATATCAAAACGTTGTTATCTGCAGACGATCTCATTTAGAATACCACAAATGTGCTTACTCTAATTGTGAACTACTGGTGTGTAACTACTATTTGGGACAACCGCACTGAAATAATTGCAATACTGTTTTGAGTATTATTTCGCGTTTTAAATATCCATATGAATTGCAGTGTTGAATTTGCCTATAAAAAAATATTCAATAAATGATATTGAAAAGCTGAACATTTTAAAAATGAGATTTTGGAAAGAAAAAAATATTAGTTTTATGTTTGTTTCCCCATCTCATATGTGGAATTTGTATGTGTAATAGTGATTTTGATATTGAATAGAAATATTGTTTGGTTTAAAAATAAATATGTTTTCCCCTCGAAAGATTTTACGAAAAACATATAAGTGTATGTTTCACGTGCATACATAAGATGAAATATTCTACAAAAAACACATAAAAAATTAGAGGTAGATACAAGTGAGCCAAAAAATGAATTAAACGGTATCATACAGCTGCTTCATCCTTCTATGACTCGTCAGTGATGCTAAGGGCCTATATGTTAAAGCCTAAGAGGCGACTAAGGAAAATCTAAAGCGATCAAAAGAAAAGTCAAAATCTAGACGGGGAGGTGCAGCAGCCCCACAGTCAGATAAATTTGATAATGTTCATACATTACATAATATTAGAATAGCGTCAAGTACACGTATATTTCTGAACGTGCACTATTTAGTGTATTAAAACGTTGCAAACATCAACACAAATAGGACCTATTGCTGAGAAGCTTCCTTGGCTGTTTAGTAACCTATCAAATTGTTTTACTTCAAATAAAAATTGACAATAATGCCCTTGGAACTGGTGTTAAAACACTGTTTTAATTGTATCATTGTCATATTCACGTTTCTCTCCCCAGAGGCAATATCTGTATAATGACTAATATGCTGACACAACTTCACCAGATAATATTCATGATGTCTATCTACATTATTAATTAATCATGTAGAAGAAATACTAATTGGAATGTAAATGATTCGATGGTGTTACCTTAACACGATCATGGTCGTAAACTTTACTGTAATTTGTTAATTGGCGCATGTACTTCTAAAGTGTCATATCTGATAACCTTTTATGTGTTCATTAGTGATTTAGCATACCTTATCATCCTGTTAATCATGATTGACAGATATTACTTTGTTAGAACTAATATCACTTTTTATCTGTCGATATTTGGACATAAAATATATCACTAAGGATACACAGTTCGCACAAATGGATTATATTTAACACAGTTCTTGATAAAAATTGTGTTCAAGATGATATTACTAGTGTCACAAATTATTTCATAAGAAGTATTTCTTGAATACGTTTTCTTCAAAATATTAAGTACAGAAAGTCATTTGCTTATTCACTAATGTGAACTTGTGATCTCAACTAAAATAACCCCTCGAATAAAAAAAGATATAGGGAAGTATTATTTAATTAAAAAGTTCAATGTTTATCTAATTTCTCCATCAGTTAAATGATGTAAAGGGGTACTCATTTATTATTTTTGTAATGGGTAACTTGAATGACTGAATTTAGTGTGATAAATGCATACTTCGTAATTAACCAACGTCACCTGCGTCATAGTTTCTACAGTAGTTTTTTTCACCAAACATCACTTCGTTGTAGCAACAAGTCATGTGTTGATTTACATATTCATAAACGACACGTGAATTATTTACGGCAAACACTCAACTTCAACTATAATTAGATGTTGTCGAGGGTTTTTAGTACGGTCCAGTGGAGCTGTCTAGGTAGACAGAGACTAAGAATAATACCCCAGATATCGAAAATCAATACAAATCTTTAACTTATTGTTGATGTCATCTAAACCAAAGGGGACTCTTCAGAAGATAAACACGATGAAAGATTGCATGACCTCATAAACTGTGAGACAAACCTCTGGACTTGAAAACATTAATTAGGTTTTCAGTTTATTGAAATATAACACGCAATCGGTTATCTTTAATGACTTAATGTCACTGGACATTGTGTTATATCACATTATTCGTTACAATGAAATAACAATACCATGTTCAATGAAATAGTTTACGGCTTTCCGGTGATTGTAGATTGCCCAAAAGATACAAAAGATGATAGCCTTGTTTAATACATATTTAGAACTAAATACACTTAAGCCAAAGTATGAATTGAACTGCATCATACATCTATCTTGTCTTTCCGGTAATCGTCAGTGATGCGAAATGTCTTAATCTTGAAGCATAGGAGGCGACGGAGAAAAAATCCAAAGAAAAGTCAAAATCAAGACCTAGAGGTGTAACAGCTCCATAATTAAACATATTAGATATTTTTAACAACGTAAAGTACTTGTGTATGTTCTCAACCGTGCCACTGTTGGAAAAAATTGAAACGTGGCAAACATGCCCCGGTTGTTCAAAGGTTGGATATAGATAACCATTGGTTAATGAAAATTTTAAACATTGGGAAGATTCTTTACAGCTATAGATTTGTTGCAACAGGTCAGACTGATATTTTGTTAAGTTTGCCTTTGTATTCTCTTATTTGTTCAGTGACATCAAATTTTAATCTTTCACTAATCACTAGTTATCTCTAACTAACCTTGAACAACCGGGGTCAGGTTATGGCAAACTTTGGGAACTAAAAGTCCACCAGCAGTGTCAAACACATGCTATCTCAAAGAAAATGATACTGTGACTTACTAGTCTGAATTACTACCCGGGATGTTTGAACATGTGTAAACGGAACTATGGTCAAAATAAACAAAAGATGACCTATCATTCAAACATCTTATCATAATCCTATATGATGTTGAATATGTATACCACAATAACGATTAGTAGTTTTCAAAGCATTCAGTAATGATGTGAAATGTAGATAATTAACAACAATGAACCCAGTCACGCAATTTGATTAAGAAGTGAGTGAAATTTTGTTTGAGCATTGTCATACAAGAAGTTTAATGTACAGCGAACTCATTCTGTGATAGAAGCCTGTCTCCATTCTATTGACTACATTTACTTCCAGAGAGAATATGTCACGTATCGATTTATTCGCTGTTGTTTTACCTGACAACCGACAGTTTGCGTTACAAATATAACCCCAAACCTTTCAAATATTTATTAGGTATTGTGTAACTTTTTTATAAACGAATCGAATACTTGACATCAGTGTACAACATACGTTCAACGAAACGTATATGTTTACCACAAAAAATATGAAAGACTGGATTGCATATGTAACACGAAATCCGGCATTGTGAATGTAACATGGATATATATTTCACTATGTCATTTTAGAATTGAATTTTTTTTATTTCTAACGACAAGAGAAATAAGTATTATAAGAATGTCAAAATCTTCATTCTTAAGTGTGTAATGTTACATGTAATAGAACGATGAGGTTAGGACATGAACGACCGACGAGCGCTCTTAGTTCCCGAGGGAGTAATAATACATAATTAAACATCATATCGATATTCAATGTAACAAAAGAACAACAAAGGTCTGACAGACAACAAACTAAGGACATCATATGTTTATTGAAAGATATATGTATATGATGAACGTAGGAGACTCTAATCGAGATTCATTGCTTACAAAAA